TCTTTACACGGCGCTTCCTCATTTGTCCAAATCCTGTATGAAAGTTCATTTACGAACATTCAATAATGACAATAATTAAATATCAAATTCCAAAAGTAGTTTGTGATCCTTAAATAGATTCTAGACTTTACTTATAAATAGGAGTGCCAAAAGCCAAAACTCAGCACGTTGTGACGAATCGAATGGTATGGGTCTTATACGGAACCTTACTATCGCTATATCTTTAAACTTTATTGTCAAAGAAATAAAAATTGGATATGCGTGAGATAAACACCAATTTTTTGATAGGCATTTTAAAATTTCTTTACAAAGGTTAAGTTGTATTCAGTGGAATTGAAGTAGTTAGTCATGGGAGATATTGGTCTTCAAAATAAATAACTCTAAATATCCAAGAAGCATGAGAGAAGAAGACAGGGTCTTTAGATACTGAGACTGTAGACTGTTTTTGTGAGACTGTGAGACATTTTCTGAGTCTGTCTTTAAAGTTTACACGATTCTCCAATGTTATACCCACTGTCCGATATTTCCTATTAATTGTTATCCTTTTGCTTATGTCCCGAATAATTATTAATTCAATTCTTCAGAAATATTATTTTAATGCTTTATCTATTCAAATTATCATTATAGAATTTAAAATTGTTATTCATCACTAAAAATATTTTCCCAGTTGAAAACTTCACTATATATTTAAATCATTCATATATTTTTCAATATATTTTGACTAAATTTTTATTCCAAATTTAAAAATGAAATTGTTATTAATTAATATTTCAACTCTTTTCTTATTGATAAATTTTAAATTTGGAGGTAAATTGTTAAAAATCAAAATATGATCTAATTTTTGTTAACAGACACCATCAGATGTTACAAAGAGGAAGATACTAATTTACCAGGGCGAGGTAGTTCTAAAATAAAATTAACAAAGTGCGGAAAAATGTCTATTGATGAATGCGCTAAATTGGATTGTGGAGAATGTTAGTCTAAAATTTTGATCTAAATTTTACTCAAAAATTTAGATGGCTTTGCCAAAGGTTGTGGTAGTTGTGATATAATTAATCTTGGTATGATGTTATTAGGCGTAGACAAGCATTGTACCTGTTATGAGTGTGACACAGATTATTGTAACTCGTCCATTGGCATTCGGTCAAATATGGAGATTATATTTCTGTTTTGCTTGATTATCATGATAATTATTATATATAATTAAGTATATTACTTAGGTTGTGTCATAAATATTTAGCCCCCCTTGAGCAAAGTTAAATAAATATTTATTAAAATTAAACTAAATGTTTTCAGACTTCGAATTATATTTTTCTATGATCCTAAGAGAGTTGCCTATTTTCTGGCAAAAAATCAGAATCCTAGGATTAGGTTGGCCGGAGTTAGAGGTAAAATACTAAAACTTGTATTTTTGAAACGAGGCAAATTCTTTTTGATTTTTCTTTTCAAAATTGATGAGCATAATGAAAATTTAAATAGATTCTGATAGAGCAGAATCTGATGAATACAATGATATAAAAATTCGTCCGAAAAACAGCTGGCTGATTTTTTAAAGGGTCGCATTTGCGAAATGGGGTCTAACATAATGCTGTTTTAGGATAGCCCCTGCGCGAAAATGCCCAGAGAGGCCAGTAGACCGGATTTTTTTCTGGACTCGATCTAAATGGTAACAATACTATTTGGGGGTAATAGTTTAGCCATTTTAAACTAATTTCCAATGATTACACCTCCGCGACACCACCAAATTCATAACAGATCACGCTATTGGACCAGTCTGGTTTAGAGGTCAAAACTGATGGTTAGCTGGGATGAGCCATTGTTTTTTATTTATAGTATTCTTGTAGGCAATCCATTGATCCTCATAGCATAAAATTTGTTTCAAATAGGGAGCTTCATTGTGGCGTTTAAGGGGTTGATTTGCAAAAGTGACTTAGTGGTTTTTTTGATTTTGCGGCAATTTATGGGGTATCAATCGACCTTCATAACTTGTTTCCCTCTTCAAGTAAAATTATGGTAATTTTTGTAAGTGAGCAGGTGAGTGCCTGCCCCAATATACACATTTTATTTTTTGGATTGGCTTTGATTCAGGGGAGAACGGCATTCTTATCTATCGTTGGTTGGCATCCAAGATGTTTTTTGTCTTTCAGCTCCTCTCTACCTTTCTTTTATTTTGAGACCCAACTTTTTTCTGTGGAATAGGAGATAACATCCTCTTACTTCGCTATGCATATTTTGCGCCATGATTCCTTTTCCGAATGTCCAAGTTCAATCTCATATTTGAACTGAACGCTAATTTCATAAGTTTGCCTTAAACTTTAAAAATTCATAAAAAATTTTTAAATGAAGAAAAAATTTCAAATCTTTGAGAAAATGAAGAAGGCATTATTGAGAATATATGACAAAAAAATTAAACAGATTGGAGATCTGAACATTGAGATATACATTTTCAAACTTTAATGATTTAAGGGGGGCTAAATATTTATGACACAACCTAAGTATCATAAATATTAAAAAGAATTTTCTTATTGTACCGGTGATCTAAATGAATGTTAAAATTTATTCTTGAATTTTTTTACTGATTAATGTATTGAAATCATAATTATAATAAATTATTCTATATTTTATTTCAAATAATATAAAATTTAAAAATGGAATTTGTATATTTGCATCAATTGTAATTTTAATACTTTTCATTCTGATTAATTTTAAATTGTAGGTAAATTTCAAATAATATTTAGAATGAAAGAAGATCAATTTTCTAGTTGATCACTCTCCATTTGATCACCCTACGTTGATCAATTTTAAGGGAGAGTGATCAACTGTGAAAATGATTAAATGGGAGAGTGAAAGACAATTTTTTATCACTTTGATCAGTTCTAGATAAGATTCGTATTTTACGTTTGGTTGCCAAAATTTCAGTAACAAAATTCCTTCGACAGAACTGACGAATAACAGATTGTTTTAAAATGCAGCAGGGCCCATCCCTAATTATTAGAGTTCGATCTTTTCATAATGCCGGGCCCGGAACCCGGTTTTTTCACAAAATCGCACCCGGACCGGTTTTTCCGGATAAAACCGGATTTTTTCAGACCGGGCCCGGACCCGGTTTTTTCTAAAATTATTAAAACATGAGAAAATTATTTATTTAATCAAAAAATCTTTAACTCATCCAATAATTAACTCATCTACACGGCCAAAAAGGTTTTTAGCGCCGCAGGCGTTTTTTTTGAATTTTGGAGCTTAAAAACCAAATTTCTTCCATTTTCAGCGCCGCAGGCGAAAATTTTGGGAAATTTTGGAGTCCTTAAGACATATTTCTTCTTCGTCAAAAAGACTCCGGGCCCGGCAAAAAATTACCGGGCCCGGGACCCGGTTTTTTTACTCAAGATTGCACCCGGGCCGGTTTTTCCGGATAAAACCGGAAAACCGGATTTTCTCAAAAATACCCGGTTCCGGGCTACCGGGCCCGGAAAAAACCGGTCCGGGCCCGGCCCGGGTTCGAACTCTACTAATTATTATAGTATATAATATTAAGAGTTATTCTCAGTGTCCGATGTCGGTTCACTTACTACTCTTATTTAATATTTGAAATTTTATACTTTTTAATGATTCATTATAATTTCAAAATTGATAGCAGAAAATAAATATTTTCCCTTTAAAAATCTCTCTCTAATATCTAATTAAATTATTCATATATTTTTCATTAAAAATTTTTCTATCAAAATTATTCTAAATTTAATTTAAATATAATTAATTTAAAAATGGGATTTTCAATGATAAATGTTTTGACTTTTTTCTTAATAATAAATTTTAAATTTGGAGGTAAATTTAAAAAAGCAAAAGAAAATATAATTATTAACAGACTCGGTCAAATGTTATGAAGATGAAGATCTTTTTTCAAAAAATAGAACAGAGATTAAGTTAATAGAGTGCGATACTACAGAATATCCTACAAAACTTACTGGTGGTAAATGCGTTAAAGCTGTTTGTAGTAAATGTTAGTTCATCAAAAATTAAATCCAAATATTGAAAATTTTATTTAAAATACTTTAAGTTTAAATAAATTTGCTCTAAATTTAGATGGCCCAATAAGAGATTGTGGGGATTGTGAATATTATCAGCAAACTTTAAAGTTAAATGACATTTACGATGACTGTCCCTGCTATGAGTGCGATGACAAAGATTTTTGTAACATGGCCTTTGGAATTCTGTTTAATTTAAAGATTATAGTTGTGATTTGCTTGATTGTGATCTACTATTTATTTTAAATTTAAATTATGATGTTTAAGTAAAAAAGATTAAATTCATTACACTTTTGTTTTTTTATTTGTGACAAGAAAGTAACTTACAGTTTAAGTAATTTACGATCTTGCACCTGCCGTATTTCGCTTCGGCGCCCCCTATCCCTGAGATATACCTATGTATGTATTTTCAACCAAAATTCCTAGATGTAAAAATTGAATAAAAGTAAATAACAATAAAAAAGTATTAATATTTGGATACTAAAAGTATTATTTTTCGAATTTGTTATAAAAAACTATATTGAGTCTTTTAACCAACCCCTAATTACATCCCGCATAAATCTAACAAATTAATTTTAATTTAAATAATTATTTAAATATATTTAAATATTTATATTTAATATTTATATTAATTAAATATATTTAAATATTTATATTTAATATTTATATTAATTAAATATTTATAATATTTTATATTTAAATGTAAAATAAAATACCTAAATTTATTTTAGCGGAACGAAACATAAAATTTAAACTATAATTCGTTTAATTCTACATATTTCCCGATATTTTTTTGGACTAAAACATAAGATTTATTTTTAGTTTTCCATTTTTTATGTTCTTCAAATATTTTTTAAAATATATGAATAATTTATTATTTAGTTTAGCGAATTTAAATTAATCAGCAAAATTTTGGGTTATATAAATTCGAGTAATTTAATTTAATTTTTCAAAAATTATTAAATAAAAATAATTTTTAATAATTTCTAAATTTCACAAAATGCGTTCTAAAATATTTTTGGTCCTTCTTTCATTTTTCATTTTTTCAATGATTAATGCTATTAGGCCACCTGTAAGTATTTTAAAAATAGCCCTAATTATATATAATTTCTTTGAAATAATTACAATCTGTCAATTAATATTGAACGATTAATCTCGTAGAGCTAAAGGAATTACTACTGGACAAAAATTTTAAAAAATTTTAAAAATAATAATTTAAAAAAATTTAGCGCTGTAATTTGGCAAAACAGGTCGGTCTGTGTAGTGCATTATTACCTAGATGGTACTATGACAATGGAGAATGCAAAGTTAATTTTATAAAAATTTAAAATTTAATTAAAAAATAGGAATTTGATTATGGTGGGTGTAGAGGTAATGATAATCGTTTTTCTACAAAAGAGGAATGCGAAAAAATTTGCAAGGTACGTTTAATAAATTTTTTAATTCTCAAAATATGCAATCGGACCTCACTACAAGACCTCTTTTGGATAAAAAGTACCTTATAATAAGCTGTCTTTAAACAAAAAGTATTGCTTAGGCTGCCCCCCTCCCCCAAACATTGACCAACAAAATTAAAAAACGTCTCTTAAATAGAGGTGTACCTAATATGAAATAGAGGTGTACCTAATATTGAATAGAGGTGTACCTAATATTAGAGGTGTACCTAATATTGAATGTGTCTTATAGAGTGGTCGTACTGTCTAATGCTTAACTTTATAATGAATTTATTTACTAACTAAGTGAGACGAGCTCGGTTGGTATTAAAAGAATATACAGAAAATTAAAAGGATTAACTGATAACTGAAGATAATTTTTGTTAAAATTTTTCGTTGTAAAATTAGTAAAAATTTGTTTTGTAAATAAATTGTAAACTTTATTTAAAATTTTTTTGGAACTTTAGTTCATGCGTTTAAAAAACTTTTATGCGCTCTCTGGGGTTTAAGCAACCCATTTTGAGCTTTCATTTTAGCTCAGAGCTTTTTCGAATGACACCTAATTTGTTCAAATCAATCCAAATTTGAAAAAATTAGATAAAAATTGCATCCAATTTTTTAAAATTTTACCTCTTTTTATTTTAAAAAGTTAAAAAAAATTTTTATGTTTTTTTTTCATGTTTTATGTCATTTATTTAATTAGAAAATATTAATTAACCATGAAAAGTTTCGAACCCGAGACCTATTTCTTAACGATTTTGTAGTCATCGCTCATATCCACTTAACCATAATTACAAGTCCGCTAGGGCCCTTGCTGGTCTGCAGTGCTTTTAATGTTTAAGCTATTAAAATCATAATTATAATTAAAAAAGTATTATTCATTTAAAAAAATATATTTTCCCTTTCGTTAAAAAATTTTTAAACAAAATATTTATTTAAAAAAAGTGTTATTCATCAGAAAAAAAATTTTTTCCTATCAAAAACTCTCTCTACATATACATATATTTAAAACATTCATATATTATTTTAAAAATTTTTTTAACTAAATTATTTTTTCCAAATTTAAAAATGAAATTGTTTTTAATAAATATTTTGTCTCTTTTCTTATTGTTGAATTTTAAATTTGGGGGTAAATTTAAAAAATCAAAGAAAATATTTTTCTTGTTAACAGACACAATCAAGTGTTACAAAGAATTTGATCTTGAAACAAGAACGGAGGTTCCTGTTATAACTAAGTTAACAACGTGCGATACTGAACAAATTTCTGAACAAATTGCGGAAAAAGTTCCTGAAGAAGTTAAAGAACAAGTGGCTGGAATTAAGCTTAAATGCATTAAAAGCGATTGTGGAGAATGTCAGTTTCTTTAAAAATGTCTTTAGGGAGCTGCATGATGAATATCATTCTTAAAACTTTGAAATAAATCTTATTCAAAAATTTAGATGGATATTATAAAAGTTGTGGGATTTGTGCAATTATCAAATTTATTGACAGGGGCTTAGGATTTAAAAAGGGTGATTGTACATGTTATGAATGTGATACTGATTATTGTAACTCGGCAGGTGGTGTTCTGTCGAACTTGAAAATTATAGCTTTATTTTGCTTGACTACCATGATAATTAATGGTAAATCTCGTTCTTATTACTCTGAAAATTTTAGAGATTAATCCCGAGTACTGTTCCGCTTTATTGTAAATTAGTATATAGCCCGAATAACCCGAATAAGATCTGAAGTGGTGATGTCACAGGTTTAAAAAAGGTCAGGTTTCGTGAAAAAAAGTCCGGGTTTCATGTAACCTTTCTGAAGCCATAAACCGGTGCATCACTAACACACACCGCCTGTTCTAACGGATTTCCCATATGTAAAAATACCGTACACCAAAATAACTTAGACAATCTGAATTTAAAAAATAAATCTTTAAATTATTCTAGCTTTTATTCTTCCACTAATCTATTAAATGATGTTGATGAAGATACGCGAATTTAAAAAATGATTGTAGAAAATGATTACAAATATTTTGCTTTTTAAAATTTTACTTAAAAATTATATATAATTTTTGAATAAAAATTTAATTTTAAATAAAAATTCTAATGATCAAAGAAGATTTAATCATTAATATAGAAATAAATAGGGTCAAATAGAATCAAGAATTTCTTAAGTGCAACTTTAGTTTATACTCAAAGTCGAAGGTGCGTGGAAAAATTTTGAAAAATAGTTCGAGTCCACTATAGAAAGATTTTCTCTCATTTCCGTATATTTTCTCTTTCAAAATTTTGTGCGGTTTTGTCAGTATTTTAAATATGAAATTGTTATTGATAAAATTTTAACATTTTTAATATCGATTTTAAATGTTCAAGAAAAATTTATTTTGTATAAAATTTCTTTCACAATAAGAATGATTAAATTGTCAGAATTCGGTAGAATTGGAGGGGTTATGGTTGGAGATTTGGCCAGAATCCTCATCAATATTTAAAATAGCTATCATATTCAAGAACTCCTAACTCTATGACATTATATATAGAAATGACAAAAAGACATAAATTTTTCTCTGATTTTTAAACATCAGACCCGGATCTGTAACCAAAATCCTTGTCATGCCAGTCAAGCAAAATCGGAACTTCCTGTGGGAGACGGAGCAATCACTTTATAACATTTTTTGATTATGCCGGACCGAAACTTATAAAATAACCTCCATCCATTTATCAAAAAATTATTATTACCGTATTTGCTCTAGTAATCCCCCAGGGGGATTATTGTTTCAACCCATCTCTAGGGTGGGGGATTAATAGAGCCTGGGGGATGATTAGAGTGGGGTAGAAAGAGGGGGATTATTGTTTCAACCCATCTCCAGGGTGGGGGATTAATAGAGCCTGGGGGATTAATAAAGGACTGGGGGATTAATAGAGCAAATACGGTATTCGATAATTTTTTAATTTGATGTATCCCTCTAAAAATAATTGATACTGAAGCTAAAAGTGTGACTAATTAAATATTTAAATTGAAAAGTCAATTTTTTAATTTTATTTTTTAATGCTTTATCTACCAATAAAAACATCATTAAAATTTAGAAAGCGTTAATCATCGGAAAAATTTCACATTAAAAATTTCTCTCTCTATATTTAAATCGTTCATATATTTTTCAATATTATTTTAATTAAATTAAAGCTAAATTTAATTTTAAATAATTTAAAAATGGGAATGTTTTTAATTAATATTTTGGCTCTTTTCTTATTGTTGAATTTTAAATTTGGAGGTAAATTTATAAAATCAAAAAATATTAATATTTTTGTTAACAGACACGATCGAATGTTACAAAGAAATTGATCTTACTCAAAGAAATGGAACAATTATTAAAAATAAGTTAGCAACGTGCGATACTGATCAAGCTTACGAACAAATTTCTAAAGTGCCTGAACTGGCTGTAATGAAGTTTAAATGCATTAAAAGCGATTGTGGAAAATGTTAGTTTCTTTAAAATTATGTCTTTAGGGAGCTGCATGATGATTATCATTCTTAAAACTTTGAAATAAATCATTTTCAAAAATTTAGATGGATATTATAAAGGTTGTTTTGCTTGTGCAGGTATTAAATTTTCTGACAAAGGGATTTTCGGATTTGAAACCGGTGATTGTACATGTTATGAATGTGATGGTGATAAGTGTAATTCGGCAGGTGGTGTTCTTTCGAATCTGAAAATTATTTTTTTATTTTGCTTGACTATCATGATAATTAATGGTAATTAATTTTTGTTATCTCGTTTTTATAATTAAGAAAATTCTAGAGATACATCCTGACTAATGTTCCGCTTCATTGTAAATAAGTCTATATCCCGAATAAGCCGAACAAGATCTAAACCAGGGATGTCACAGGTTAAGAAAAAAGTTAGGTTGGGTCTTAAAAAGTCCGGGTTTCGGGTAACTGTTGGCATACTTGATCTAAAGCCATTAACCGGTTGATCAACTCACACACTGACACGTTCTAACGGCCATATGTGGAAATACCGTATACGCAAATAACTTAGACTATAAAATAGACACATCTAATCTGATTTTAATTGAAAAATCATTAAATTATTCTAGCTTATATTCTTCCGCAAATCTATTAAATGAATGATAATGAAAATATTTTGAATTTAAAGAATGATTGGAGATAAAAAATGATTGTCTATTTAAAAATTTCTCTTAAAAATTTATATAACTTTTGAATAAAAATTTTAAAGATCAAGGAAATTTATATAATATAGAAATAAATAGGGGCAAATATGTATAATCAATAGGGACAGCCAAAACATGCAAATGCATGTTTTGTATGCGGATATGCCTTGAAGTGGGAAGCTTAAAAATGGTGTTTTTACATCGGTCCTAGCACTTTAGGACCCGGTTCTTAATGCATATTTTTGCATATTTCGACCATTTCGTGCATATTTGCATATTTGTGCATATTTTGGCAAATTTTGCATATTTTGGTCCATATTTCGGCATTTTTTGGCAAATTTTATTGAAAATCGGCGAAAATTTTCAAAATTTTGGATTTTTTTGGTTAAAAAATTTTTTTATAAAAAGTTTATGAAAAAATTTTTTCGAAAAATTTTTCGGAAAAATTTTCTTTAATAAATTTTTATGCAGAAATCTTAATTCCATAAAATCTTTAAAGAATTCTTTTAAATTGCGGTTTTAAAGGCTAATTTAGTGTTTTAGACTCAAAATATTGATTTTTAAAGCATATTTTAACTATTTTTGGTGCATATTTCAGTGCATATTTTGGCAAATTTTGCATATTTTGGTGCATATTTTGGGCTTTTTTGGTGCATATATATGCGCATATTTGGCGATTTCCCGTGCATATTTTGGCTGTCCCTAATAATCAAGAATTTTTGAAGTGCAACTTTTGCTTGTACAAAAATCGAAGGTGCTTGGAAAATTTTGAACAATAGTTCAAACACCCTTGAGATAAATTTTCTCTTACTTTAAAATTTTGCGCGGTTTAGTCAGTATTTTAGAAAATGAAATTGGTATTGATAAATATTTTTAGCATTTTTAAATATCAAATTTTAAATGTTTAAGTAAATAATTTCTTTGAACTCCAAACTCTGAGACAGTCTACGTCTTGTTAAGAATGATAAAACGACTTAAAATTTTCTGCTTTTCAAGGTTCCGATTTTCAAATTAACCGCACATCTTTATTGCTTTCCACAGCAATGGAAATAAGCTTATAGCTTTGTTGATGTCAAGTTTAGTTACCTATCTTCTACTATTTTAAATAATAATTTTTATTTAAAGTACCCATTCAAAAATGTAATAATTAATGAAGCTAAAAATATTACATAAGTGTTGATCAATTTATTAAATTTTACTTTTTAATGAGTAATCTGTTAAAATTAACTATAATTTAAAAAATATTATTCATCAAAAAATATTTTTCCTAGTGAAAGCTTCTCTCTATATATTTAAATCATTCATATATTTTTTTGATAAAAAATTAACGAAATTATTAATTTTAAATTTAAAAATGGGATTGTTTTTAATTAATATCTTGACCCTTTTCTTATTGATGAATTTTAAATTTGGAGGTAAATTTAAAATAGCAAAAAAATATTATATTTTTGTTAACAGAAACAATTAAATGTTACAAAGAAGATGATCTTACTTTAAGAAGTGGAAAAATAGCTATAACTGGTTTAACAACATGCGATACTAAAAAAGAAGCCGAAATACTTGGATTACCTATTGATAAATGCTATAAAAGCGATTGTGGGGAATGTTAGTTTTATTAAAAATCTTATCTTTAGAAAGCTGCATGCTGAATATTAAAACCTTCCAAGACCAGAAATTTTCCAAGACTCAAGATCAAGATTAGACCTCAAGCCTCTTCCTTTTCCTTTGGAGGCCAAGAGACTTTATTTGTTCCATTTTGGAAATAAAATAAGGAATTCAAAAAAGTTTAGAACAAGACTTACCCCAAGACCAAGACCGAAAAATTCCCTAAGAAAAGTATTGAGTCAAGTCTAAAGAGCAAGAGACTTGGACCCTCTACAGAATATCATTCATAAAATTTTAAATAAATCTTAGTCAAAAATTTAGATGGATATTATAAAGGTTGTGGTGATTGTGCAATTATTAAACTTACTAACAGGCTTATGAGATTTAAAAAGGGTGATTGTACCTGTTATGAGTGTGATACTGATTATTGTAACTCGGCAATTGGCGTTCTGTCGAACTTGAAGATTATTGTTTTATCTTGCTTGACTATCATAATAATTAATGGTAAATAATTGTGAAAATTAGAGATTCATTCCGATTACTGTTCCGCTTCATTGTAAATCATAACCCGAGCTGAGCTCAAGCAGAGATGACACGGATTGAGAAAAAAGTCGGGTCGGGTTTCGTGTAACCGTGACATCCTTGATCTGAAACGATTAACCGGTTGATCACTAGATCACACACCGACACTATCTAACTGTTTTTTCTCATACATATGTAGAAATATCTTGGACCAAAGGACCTACAATGAAAAGAATTAGATAATAAACACATCTATTCCTATTTTTAATTTATAAATTTTTAAATTATCTTAGCTTTTATTCTTCCACAATTATATTAAATGAATGTTGATGAAAATATTTTGAATTTAAAAAATGATTGTAGAAAATGATTATAAATATTTTGA